CTGTTGACGCAAGCTAGATTAAAGTGATTATTACGTTTTGAATATGGATATTTTTCCTTTGTTCACCCCCCGGAGCCGTGTGGGACACTTTTTTTTTATGGATGGGCGCTTTTTTTTTAACTTCTTTTGTACTGATGCAATGCAACATCCACTGATTGGCATTAAACAGCTTGAAAGATCAAAGACCATTTTTCATTCGTATTGCACTGAAAAAACTTTTTGCTAATTTCTTACAGAGAAGATGAGGCTAAACTTGTTGACACGTACCAATACGAAGACAATCAAGTGGGTGACGAGGACGCTTTCTCTCGAGAGCCTTTCATCCTGCGTTTCCGCTGTAAACACACAGGTAACACTTCAATTTCTGCTTCAAATCTAGACTAAAAATCTTCAGTGACAGCATGATTTATACTTCGCCCAAAATGAAAAGTCTGGGATCATTTACTCACCCACATGTCATCCTGTGCAAATTTCTTCTGTGCATTGGGAATAAATGGGATTTGGAGCTTTCAACTTCATCAACAGATGTAGAACCACCATAAAAAGTGGTCCATATAACTCATTTGAGAAACTGACCAAAACTGAAGGTCTTATTCACCCGTTCATTGCAACTCCATGCTCCTACACAACCGTAAATATTTCAGAAGGGTTGATCACATGTGCTCAATCATTGCTAGTCATTTTTGTCCGTCTCTTTCAGTGCTGAAAGATTTGGTGCTGATCCCTGTTCACACAAAGCCTAAAGACTCACAGAAGGAACTGGATGAACTATACGACGTCTTTCTGCATGTCAAAGATAAATGGAAGACGGATGTGAGTTTAGCCCTATGCAACACATTCCAGTGGGAAGTTGTTTTGGTTAAAGCGTCTGCCAAATGCAAGAATGTACACATTTCAAAGATGTGGGTGGATTGACCGTAGTTTATCTAATGTGGAGATAAAGAAATTCTTGTCCAACTAAAATTCACAAGTGAGCTCTAGTTTGGCCAAACATTGATTAGAGTTTGAGAGGAAGCTCACACACTGTCTTACAGAACGTCATGATCCTTGGCGACTTCAACGCCGACGGCGCTTACGTCTCCAAGAAGAAGATGAAGGCCATCAGGATCCGCAGCGACCCCGATTTCCACTGGCTGATTGGAGACGATGTGGACACCACAGTCATCGAGTCCAATGACCACACCTACGACAGGTGAGGTGGAAGAAATATAAGTAATAATTTACTCACCCTTCATCTGCTGCCTTGATCCAATCCGACAACAGCAAATAGAGCCCCAGTTTTATTTCTAACATGCACTACTTATGACAACACTACAAATGTATTCAGAACTATCACTTTGATGAGTTTAGTGTAGACAGCCTCAAACTGCTACGGCACGGTACAACGCAACAAAAGTTGCACCCAGTGTAGAAAATGCGAGGCTGTGACGGATAGAGATGTACAAACAGCTTGCGCCAGCACAAACCCTCTTTTGGCTTTGAAAAATACGGTCATGATTTACTAAAGACATGCAGTGAAACATTAGCAATGAAAAGGCTATTTTTGTGTCTGACTTGTTGCATACGCATTTGTAAGAGTTTCCCCTTCAGGCGCAAAATGTATGGGCGGAGAGTATTTAAATAAATCATGCAAGTTTATTTACTAAGTTTTGCGGTAGTTTGTTTACTGGTAATTGCGCCACTATTTAACGCCCCATTTTGCGCCCGTGTTGTGTAGGGGAATTTACAGATAAACCCAAGGACCAGGTATGATGAGTAAAGACCAGGAGTCAGAGATGAAGTCAATTGAAGAAAAATTTACGGAAGAAAATAGTTTGCAGTTTCATCAGCAGAAGTCAGCTTCAATACTCTCAAGGAGTTCGTATGTCCTCTATGCCCCGCCTCTCTCAAACGCTTGGTTTTCTACAAAGTCCCTCCTTCCGACAAGCACAGTCTGCTCTGAATTGTTTTTACAACACTGTTCCAGAACAGTTTAACCCAAATCCAGATGTGTGCAGCGCATTTTTACTGATTGTTTACTGTTTACTGATCCTGGAAGAGTAGACTACAATGCCAGCAGTTCTGAAATACACAAAATAATGTTCTTTTTAGCAGCATCATATGACCCCTTTAAACAATGTGAATGTTTTCTATGCTACTAGTTTCAAGTATATTTAAAATAAATGACTGCACAAATAATGCACAAGACAATAAATTGTTTAAATTTTTTGGTGTTATTGTAATATATAACACTTCAAAATCAACAAACATAACATTTAAAGGGAAAAGACACTTGATGAAAAGTCATTAACTAATAACTGGAGAAGTTCCCAGTAGCCCCTCACTGCAGAACACAAGATCCAGGGGGCGTGGTTGGATCCACATCTAGGGGGTGGAGATGGGTAGGTTTAGGGGTGTAGATGGGTGGGTTTAGGGGTGTAGATGGGTGGGTTTAGGGGTGGAGATGGTTAGGTTTAGGGGTGGAGATTGGTAGGTTTAGGGGTGGAGATGGGTGGGTTTAGGGATCAGGGGGTAGAGACGGGTAGGTTTAGGTATATGTAAGGTGGGAGGAGTTGGATCTGGATCCAACCTCG